TTCTTTCTTGTCTGCCAACCCGATCACGACCACTTGAGTAGAGATCACTTCGGCTGCTTGAGTAACTGTCTCGACTTCCACCATATCCGTCACGTGAGCTGCTGTAATCATCATAGCGACTGCTTCCACCATAAGATGGCGGGGGCCCTCGTGTAGGTGGAGCACTACGTGAGTTACCTGCAGGGTCAATGGTCAGGTAATATGGCAACACTATAAATTGTATATATACAACATTTAAATCTGAATTTACAGAATTTCTGTATTAAACTTTTACTTTCTCAACTGGGAGGTTTTAAACTGTGCCATTGCTGGCCATTAACAGGGATTTGCTCATTTGCTGAGATATGGAAATGGATGGGTTTTAATGTTTGTTTGAAAAGACTGAAGACGGTGTGTATTTCAAGAGGATATTCCAGACAGCTTGTTATTTTATAGTAGACACTCAGCCACTTTCCAGTGATAAGTTGCAATTTTGAACTGTAGACTTTCCTTCATATTGGAATGGTAAACATTTGTTGTTGTTAATAAAATTTTTAAATTGTATTTGCACTGTTGGGGGAAAACACATAAGGCTGCCAATTTAAGCAAGCAAAATCCCCTCCAAAGCAAGCAAACAGCCTCAAAAAAAACAACTTATAGGAAAAAAAAAACAACAACAACAAAAGCCCCTCACAAAACTAGGAAAAGCCCAGCTGATAGTTATCCCCTTAAAAGCAAGCAAACATCCCTTTAAAAGCAAGCACCACACAGCCTAGTAAACTGGCTCATGAACCTAAAAACTCAAGCTGGTGATATTTAAAGACACTAAACCAGTATCTTACCATAACTGTCATATGAATCCCTGTAGGAACCACCACTTGGATGATCTGAATAGTCACGATCACGACCATAGCCATCTCTATCACTAAATTAAAGAGAAAAATTTAAGCCCAGAGCATCAACCTTTACAACGTTTTACAGCAAAATCATGGAAGCAAAGTCACTTACCTATAGCCTCTTGACGGATAGTCATCACGTGAACTGGAATGACCATAATCACGGTAAGTATAATCTCTTGGTGGTGGAGCATAATCTCTTGTGTCACGAGAGCTTGGGTAATCTCTACTTGAGTAGCTACCAAAACAAAAATAACTTGTTTGATGCTTTGGATGAGCTTTCCCTTCAACACTAATCATTTGTAAGAGGGAGCTATTACATTTTCCGGTTACCTGTCTTTAGTAGAATATCCATCATCTCTTGGGGACAAATAAACATCTCTACGGGAAGGCAGGGGTTCCCTTCGAGGTGGGCCTCCATAACTATCTCTTCCACGTGATACAGGAGCTTATGGAAAAAACATTATTAAAATACACTCAAAGATAAAAAATGAAATGTGAACTTAAGTCAGACAATAAAAAAACAGTGATTCAGTGACATATGACCTAGAACTCTATCATGGTATTTTGTTCTCTAAAATTTTCTATTCACACCTAAATTCTTTTTAATGTATATTTACTGCACATACCTAGATCACCTGGGGTCTGTCAGTTTTAAGTATTTTTAGGATTCACCCCTCAATCTTTTGTGTGATGGTGGTACGTTAGATGGTTATAAATGGAAACTTACCTCTTCCTCCCATTCCACTGCTGCTGCGAACTGGTCCTGAAGGAGCAGATCTTTTAGCAGGAGGACCCACACTTCTCGGTGGTGGTCCTCTTTTTACTGGAAGTGGTCCCCTGGAAGAACTCATGTTAAAATTCATGGAATAGCCACCATCATCTACATTAGAAAAGAAAAATGTTCGTATTAACAAGAATCAAGAAAAGGCTATAAAAGTTCTTTGCTTCATCGAGAATACTTGTTCAGTTGGGGAATCTTGCTTTAGTTTTCACACATACAAGACTTGAGCATGTGCCCTGCCAGTGTGGCTCAGTGTTTGAATGTCAACCTATGAACCAGGAGGTCATGGTCCAAGCACATGCCCTTGTTGTGGGCTTGATCCCCAGTGGGGGCTGTGCAGGAGGCAGATCAATGATTCTCTCATCTTTGATGTTTCTATCTCTCTCTCCCATCCTCTGAAATCAATAAAAATATATTTTTAAGAAAATACCGAGCATGAAGTCTTTACAGGCTAGTGAAATAAAACAAAAGGATAATCTTAAAGTTATCTGATAAATTGTTTAATTTTCATATGCCCAATCAGCTAGGCCTATCATAATTTTTTTAAGTGTCTTTTCCTAGAGTTAACTATTTGGATAAATAGTGTATTTCTCATCATTTAAAAACACTATGTAATTTAGGGTTTGATGTCCCATTTTTAAGTCACTATCACTTTGGTAGTTAAGCATGTGTTCTCAATTTCAAAAGTTGGAGCCCTTAAAGACTTATACAAAGCACACATGGAATGGATTTGCAGTTCCTAACTTAAACACCAAGCATGAATGAGGTAGATCCAAATTACCCATGTGCCCTCCACGTGAGGGAGGTCCCCTGGTTCCTCCACTTCCTCCTCTTCCACCTCTAAGACCCCTTGGAGGGCCTCTGCTTCTTGGAGGTGGAGGTGGTCCACGCCTACCAGTTTCAAATGATGGTTTGGTGGCTTGTTCTACCTTGATGGCTTTTCCATCTAAGGACTAAATAATATCAAAGCGGTTAGTTACATCAACATTTAAAAAGAACTTGCACATCCACTGCACATTGACAGCAATGACCTTAAAAAGGTAATTACAGGTAAATTTTGCTCACTAATTAATCTAAGAAAAATAATACAAATAGTCAGTTACTTTTCCAATTACTTAAAATGCTTACTCATCTTTAAGACTGATACTGATGATTTGAGCCAAACAAGGTGGACCCACTGCATTACTGGTGGGTAAGATTTTAAACAAGGCCAGCTATCAACTTATCAATACTAGTAACCAAAAGGAAAAGCCAAGTTATTAAAGCAGTTTATAAATCCCAGATAAAATAAACATCACACACTATTCTGAACTGAAAGACTTAAGTAATACCTGTAAAGTTGCCTATAAAATTACCAAGGGTTACAATCAGAGAGTCCTATAAAGTTATACACCAGAGATGCCATGTCCTAGGCCTGACTTGACTAACACTGTGCCATTTTATGCAGTAGAGAACACTGCATTAGTATGCAGACAATCTCACCTTTCCATTCATATCTCTGGCTGCATCCTTAGCATCTGCTGGGCTTTCAAAGGTGACAAAAGCAAATCCTCTGGATTTGTTGGTTTCACGATCTTTCATCAAGAGTACTAAAAAGTCATTTTCGGGGGGGAAAAGTGTTATTCTGGTTCAAATGAATTTAACAAAAGTGAATCTTTAAAAAAGAAAGCTCAGAACTTCTTAGAGGACAAAATACATTATCATTTCAGATGATCATTGCAATTAAATTCATCATAGCTTCCCTTTTTAATTACAAAATAGCCCTGCATATACTTTCAGATAAACTCACCTTCCACTATCCGTCCATATTTGCCAAATACAGCTTCAAGAGCTTTCTCATTTGTTTCTGTATTGAGGCCACCAATAAAGAGCTTTCCTGGGCGATCAGCTTCAACCATGTTTCCCTCCTGGTAAGAGTCTATTGAAAAAGAATATATATAGTATGTCACTGGGAAAAGTTCCAAGTTTATCGGACACATGAATTTATCGGGGTGCGTTTCTCTTATTTTTCTAAAACCAGTATTCCTTAATAACTAGACACCAAAAGTGAGCTCTTCTAAGCAGGAAACCCAAATTAACTACTTAAGCCTTAAGTGCAGTTTCCATTAAACTGATTAAAAGGATCAATTTAATATATGCGTTTACCCTTAACCCACCCTGGCAGTTTTAATCTAGTAAGGGCTACTCAACATTTACAAGTTTAATCTCGGAATTGTAGCCTTTTAAAGGTACAATTACATCCTAATTACCCTGAAGACTATCAACTCATTCAAGGTCACACACAGGCCAGACGCAAGTCCTTAACATCAAGCTCTCTTCGGAGGACTTTGTATTTTCTTATTAGGATTCCCTGATAAATTTACTTAGAAATTTAAAGTTTGAGCCAAGTTATGCCTCCCGTTCTTCACCGGCCCATGGCGCGCCGAAAAGGTCACAAGAACCTTAAAAAGTGTCAATATCATTTCATATTAAATAACGGACATGAAATCGCGCACTGGAATGTACAACACTCCCTGGCTGCAGCAGAACCCAATTAAAACCGTCACTAAAAACCGCGTGGAAAACACAAAATGGCGACACTTGGACTCAGCCCAGAACCGGCACCGGTCAGAGGAGTAACTTTTACCATCAGCAGTAGCTGGGAAAATTCAAAGGGCTTCCTCTCCAAGGCCCCACCAATGAACAAGGACCTCGCGTAAAACTGCACGTGCCCATCAGTAGAACCGACGCCATCCCAATACAAGTACCGCGGTGGCGTGGTCTCTCCTTGTCCAGCCAAAACCCGGAGTTCCGCCACCGCCCCGGCAGGCGACAGTCACACTTTCTCCAGGCATACAACTAAACGGACCCTCTGCATTTGTTTCCCCGCGACACTCTGCTTTATCTAAATAGGTCGGCACCTTTGGGTTCTTAAAATGGCGCCCGCCAGCCCCATCTCCTGGGAGATAATCTCAGATTCTAACATGACAAGAGTGCCAAGAAAAAGGTCTAAGGAAAGAACACACTTACTGGAGGGGTGACGACGGTTTCAAGCTCCTACGAGCTCGCTGACAGAGGCTTCCTAGCCGCTCAGCACAGGGAGGGCCGCTGGCTCGGAGGACGGAAGAGAGGACCTGCAGGAACTACTGCGCAACGAGGGCGAACAAAGGAGACAGCAAACTTTATACTGCCCGGGAACGAGGCTGAAGGACCCGGATGAAAACGGAGCTTAGAATTTGAAACGCAAGGGAGAGGTGGGAGCAGTTCCCAGTCTCCCCATTGGCTGTCTTTTCTGCCATTCATTCTTAGTTCCTCCCCATTTCCGGGCCCTCAGCTCTTGGCGGGGGCTGGTTCTTAACCGTTTTCCCAGCCCCCACCCGTGTGCTGTAAACCCGCGTTTTGCTTTCCGGTGAACTGGTTCCCTGGCTGCGTTTACTAAATAACTGAAGTTAATTGTGTGTTGTAGTGACCGGGGGACGTTGCTAAACTTTAACATCCCTTAAATGGTTTAATGCTCAAAAGTAACGTGATGAGGGTAGATACTGCCCATGTTGCAGAAATGGAAAACAAAGAGGTATGGATGATAAAATATTTTTCCCCCAAAATACATTTAACCAGAATTTTTAGTGTATGGATAAAATTCTGATAAATTAATATCGGGATGGGGGCATACAAAAAGGCAGCAGATAAACTGAACACCTAAATGGTGGGCTCTGTGCTTGGCTATGAGAATACAACCCAGAACAAGTGAGACAAGGGCAGGGCACCTCCATGGGTAAGGCTGCCAGATTTAGCGAAGAAAAATACAGGACTCCCAGTTAAGTTTGAACTTCAGATATTTTATTTTCAGTTTAAGTAAGTATCATATATTAAAAAACTTATTTATTGTTTATCTGAACTTCAAATTTAACTGGGCATTGTGTATTTTGTCTGCCATTGGGGGGAAATTACAAAAATTAAAAAATTTCTAATTTCTTTAAAAGCTAAAACAACAATTAAATAAAACAATTTATTGCATATTGTGATTAGTGCCAGGGCTGAAGTAAACTGGGTGCTCTGATGGACAATATTTGGGAGACCAAATTTGATTTAGACATCAGGGAAGGTCTGTCTAAAGATGTGACTTTGGAGATCAGATGTAAAGGGAAAAAAGAAACCAGCCATGGAAAAGCTAGGGGAAGAGCTTTTCAGGAAAAGAAAACAGTACTAAGCATAAAGTGGGATTAAGAATTTGCACATAGCAAGGGACAGAAAGAGATCCAGGGTGACAGGAATTTAAGGGTTATAAGGGGAGGGAGTTAAGGTAAATAGAACATGCAAATCCATTAAAAGATTGTGGGCTTAAGTGTGGAAGCAGGGACACCAATGGGATAGAGCAAACAGATCAGGAGAGAAAACAGTGACTCAAATTAGGGTTGTAGCAGTGGACATGGGGAGGAAACAACAATTGTTGGATGTACATGGCAGGTAGTATGGACAGGATTTGCTAATGAAACAGATGGGGAAGGACAGGGTGGAATTGAGGAAAAAGGAAGCCATTAGCAGGTGATGTCCATTTACCAAAATGGTTGCAGAGGAGAGAGATTGGGAAATCTGATGCTCAGAGATCAGGGCTAAATTGTTATTTTAGAAATGGAAATAAAACCCATCTCAATGAATGAGACCACCAAAAAGAGAATACAATGCGAAAAGAAGTCCCAAAAGCATGGAACAAAGTGGGGAATCTCTGAGGGAAGCGGGGTGGGGGTGGGGGGGGAGTAATCAACTAAGGATCTTGTTTGCATATATGCATGGCCCTTCAACACAGACAATGGAGCAGTAAGGGCCTGGAGCGGGGTAGGGGATCAATGGGGGAAGAAGGGAGACATATGTAATACTTTCAACAATAAAGAATTATTAAAAATAAAAAATAAAACAACACAACAAAAATAAATCTAAAAACAATCAATCAAAAAGAAGTCCCAAGATCATATAATATTAAATACACACACATCCAGGATAGGCAAAAGTAGGTTTATAGTTGTTCATATGGAAACTACTACAATAATTAATAATAATACAAGAATAAACTCTTGTATGTGTGTGTACTCACAACCATCAAGATTTGGCTCTGGCAATAGTTGAAAATTGGCCAGGTTGGCAAAAACCACTTACGTGCCAGGTTCAGCCAGTAGAATCTGCACCTCCAGATAGAATCATGAAAAGTCCTGCCCCGCCGAACCGGTTTGGCTCAGTGGATAGAGTGTTGGCTTGCGGACTGAAAGGTCCCAGGTTCGATTCCGGTCAAGGGCATGTACCTGGTTGCGGGCACATCCCCGGTAGGAGATGTGCAGGAGGCAGCTGATCAATGTTTCTCTCTCATCGATGTTTCAAACTTTCTATATCTCTCCCTTCCTCTCTGTAAAAAATCAATAAAATATATTTTTAAAAAAAAGGAAAAAAAAAGAAAAGTCCTGCCCCGAGGGCCACTGGCACTCTCTCTGTCTCAGATCCAGAACAGAAGGACTACAGGACTTTCCCTAAGCTCTAAGCCAGGCTGGTCTAGGGCAGAACAGGGCCAACAGATGTTCCTGTTCCCCTAAGTCTTAGGAATGAAATGTGCACCCCTGTGGATTAGATCACTCTTGTCTTTGCAGTTAATGTCCAGGAATGTGGGAGAAGGAGGAGAGTGTTCTATACTGTGGGGCAGCACTTCCAAGGACTAGGAGAAGGAGGGAGAGGAGGGACAGCTAATTGAGGGAATTGTAGGAGAGGGTTGTTATGGCTGTATCACAGAATGGGGACCCCACAGGAGAAAGAAGCTGGAGAGGGAGGCAGAGGGCCTACTGACTGGATCAGAAGGCAATGGGGAGGGGAGCCTTTTAAAAAATTTTTAAAATCTTTTGAAAATTAAATGTATTGCAGTGACATTGGTTAATAAGTACATAGGTTTCAAGTATACATTTCTATGAAATATGATTGGCATATTGCATTTTGTGCCCACCATCCAAAGTCAAATCACCTAACAGATGAAAGAATAAACTGTAGTACATCCATACTATTGAATACTACTCAGCAATAAATCCAAAAGTAGAAAACTAAGAGAAATAACCAAGTTCAAAAGGCTACATACTGGATGCTTCCATTTATATGAAACTCAGGAGTTGTAAGAGATAAGGCTCTTAAGTAACAGAGTGTCAGGTCACATAGGTCTTTGTAGACCAAAGACTGCCTTTGTCCAGGAAAAAAATAATTTTCCATTTATGTTTCTAGGTTCTTGTCTGAGAATCCCCTGTAATAAAAGACAGATTAACATGAGTAAAACATGTTTAATGATATGTATTTCTCCTGTATACACGGGAGAGATGCAGGAAAACTGAGTAACTACCCAAAATGATTCAAGTTGTCACCTTAAATACCATCTGCAGCTAAAGACGAAAGAAGATTGGGAGAGGGGAGACAGTTATGGGAGGTTATCAGGAAAATCACAGTAAACAGGGCATGGACATTCTGCAGGCCTAAATCCATTAGTAATGCCTTCTCTAGTAATGACAGTTTCCAGAGATTTGGTAATCCTCCTCTTCCAGCTACATAGAGGGAGACAACCTTACAAATGGAGATTTCCCTACTAAATGTAAATGTCTCCCACAAAAGGGTAATTTATACTGAAGTTTCAGAGTTTTTCCTATGTCTACTGTTTTTTAAAAACCATCAACTCAAAATAATCCTTATGCCCTAGCCAGTTTGGCTCAGTGGATAGAGCATCAGCCTGTGGACCAAAGGGTCCAGGTTTGATTCTGATCAAGGGCACGTACCTTGGTTGCAGGCTCTTCCCCAGCCCAGGCTCAGTCTTTCCCTCTCTCTTCCACTTTCTCCAAAAACCAATGGAGAAATATCTTTGGGTGAGAATTAATAATAATAATAATAATAATAATCCTTATGCCTAAGAGACTTATTTTGAGGTGGCAAATTCTGCTCCCTTTCATCTTTTACTGTGATTGAAACCAGGAGCCACTGGCGGGCCTTGAGCCAAGGGGTGACATATCTGTATTACCTCATAAGAAGAACACTTTGGCTGCTGTGTCCTGGATGCACTGTAGGCAGCAAGGGTGAAAGCAGAGAGATCTACCAAAAGATGATTGCCATAGTACCTTGAATTAAGGGGCTAGCAGCAGAGGTATTGAGAAGTTGTTGGATTCTGGACATATTTTGAAGGTAAAGTTAAAAGAACTTCCCAACACAAAATCCAGATGACATGAATGAAAAAATTAATTCATTTGACTATAAAAGCATTTCTTCATTCTCACACTGCTTTGATAGCTCATTCTTTTCAAGTGGATCTTTAAATATTAGAGTTTTTTCAGTCTTGTGCCTAGATCCTCTTCTGTTCTCATTCTATCCTCACTCCAGGATAAATCTCATCCATTGCCAGGGTGTCCACTATGATAAATGTCCCTATGACTCCTATGTCAAATCTCTCCCTTGTACTCCTCAATGTGCATATCACACTTCCTGACTTTACCACTTGGCTGCCTCAAATACATTAACTCATTGCCTTCTCAGATATTTATTGGGTACCTATTATGTGTTAGCCCCTATGGTAGGGATTGGTATACAATGGTTGAATAAAATGGACTTGGTCCGTGCTCTCATGAAACTACCATTCCAGTGGAAGGCTGTGTGAGAAAATCAACAATAAAACAAATTTTAAAAATAGTAAAAACTGCTATGAAGAAAGCAAGCTGCAGTAATAGAAAATAACAAAAAAGTATGTTTGTGCAATTGGAGGAAACCTACTTATGAAAGTCACGGAACATGTCTTTGAAATAGTGACATGGAAGCTGAGAGTTCAAGAATGAGAAGTAAAAGAAGGTGAAGAGATTAGCCAAGGAACATATATGCATAGCCCATGGACACACACAACAGGGTGGTGAAGACTAAGGGAGGGGGGCAGGGGCTGGGTAGAGGTGGGCAAAGGGGGAGGAATGGGGACAATAGAAAAAGAAAAGTAACCATTCATGGAAAGAACTGCAGGATGGACATTATAGATAATAGTAACAGCATGTGAAAAGGCTCTACTGAAAAAAATAATTTGATGTATTTTAAGAACTTAAATGAAGCTACTATGGCTGGAACATAGTGATTTAGAGAAAATAATGACAAGTGATCTAGTTGGGAGGTTAAGAAGCTGTCAGGATCATCCAAGACCTTGTAAGTCATGAATA